ATCTAAATCCTCACGGGTGACAACGAGCATAGATGACCATGGGCCACGGCAACCACTCACCATCAGGTGGATTGTGTGCACGTTTGTCACCTTTATCCTATAAGAAAATCATCAGCAATGTGATTGTGTTACTCTAGTGGAAATTATAGTTGTCCTTAGTTTTGACGTTTCACGTTTGGTTTCTATGTACTTTGTAAATGTATCAGTAAATGTATAAAAGTTTTTTTTTATATATATATATGGATATATTAATTTAGGTAACGATATTAAAATTGAAAAAGCATAACTTGAAGTGATCGCCACAGGCAAACGATTCCCACTATAGTTGGTAGCACTGTGGGCATAGTTATGAAGGCATCTAAACCATTTGGACGTGAGTCGCACTTGTATCACAGACGCAAGTGCAACGGTTGCCAAGACTATCAGACTCAGTCCCATAAAACATCTAAGGATATATTATGGTGGACCGGTCGGTTTCGTAAAAATCTACTCTTATTATTTATGCAACTTACGATTCGATCAAAAGCAAAATACTCTTCACTTTTATAAAAAACTCACGCCTATAAAAAAAGACGAAATTTTTTCTATAAAGGAGAGTGGGTAAACGAGCCAACGGCTCACTTTATGGTAAGTCAAAGGGAAAGGGAGAATCTGGTGCAAAAATTTAATATGAATTTGTGTGAAACGGGTTGGTTTTTGAGTATACTTGCGGAGCCACACTCAGCGGTAGCAAGATCACTCATTTCCATATTCTTACCACATTGATTCCCCCTTTCTAAATAGCATTTGTGTAACAGGAATAAGTTAGGTTACAATATGGCTGATATATCCTTATATAATAATAGCCTTTTTAAATAAAGATGGATAATAAAAAAAAGGTGAGATGACGAAATAAACATCTCGTTCTTTCTCTCTTTCTTTTTTTCAATTATCAATTCGCCGGCCAAGTGTGACAATTATATTATGACAAAGGGAGAGGTCAATTTTTTTAATAGCAGATGGGGCAAACGAGCCTACGACTCACCTGATGTAAGTGACTACCGCCGCCCATGAACAACTGCAACACCAGGGGAATATTATAATTTCCCGAGAAATATTGGCACGGCCGGTGTATAGAGCATCACCAGTGCTGTTATCCGCATAGCAATGTATGTTACCGGTTTGCAACATATAATTGATATGCAGAAGAAACAGCGTTGGTGATAGCACGCAGCCTTGTGAAACACCAGCGTTAATAGGCTTGAAATCGGAGCATGCACCATCTACAACGACCTTGATGCTCCGATCTGCAAGAAAGCTGTCCACAATGTCCAATTGCACAATATCTCGGGAAGCTCATAGGAAGGGAGCTTCGAAAGAAGCGCTTTGTGCCAAACACGATTGAAGGCCTGCGCAATGTCCAAACTAACGACCAATGCCAATGATTCAGGTAGACCGAAGATCACCAAATGATCGACACCGACGAAAACGGTATTGGTGGTCACTAATCAGCTGGTGATCCTCAAGGTACCGCAAGAGCTGGCAATTTATAATGGATTCCATTATTTTGGAGAACAAGGAGGTGATGGTGATAGGCCTGTAGTTGGACGGGTCTGAGCGGTCGCCTTTTTTAGGGATCGGGTGGACGAAAGCCATCTTTCATGATTTCAGGACTACGCCTAGGGAGTAGGAGTACGAGAGAAGACGCGTTATAACCGGTGCCAACTCTGGAGCGCATGTCCTCAGAACAATTGGGGGGATTCCGTCAGGCCCACTTGACTTGTAGATGTCGAGGGAGAGGAGTGCTTTGCGAACCGAGCGCTGTGTGAACCACACATCCGGCATGGAGCACTCATACCTCGGGATGATCGGCGGTGTGTTCCCCCCGTCATTAGGAATCGAGTTAGATGCAAAGAAAGAGCCTAGCAGATCGGCTTTCTCATTTGCGGTATGGGCCAGTGAGTCGTCCTTCTTGTGCAGAGATGGAAGAGAGGGCTGACAGAAGTTCCCTTGGACAGCCTTGGCGGGAGACCAGAATGCACGGGTTCCCGATGGAAAGCAACTAGTTTATCGCCAATTCTGCCTATATGGTATGAGTTTGACTTGGCAAGGACTTTAGTGAAGGACTTGGAGGCGGAATTATACTTCTTTTTAAGGGCGCTAGTGTTTACATCTCGGAACGTTGATGCGTCAGCCCAGGCTCGGTAGCACTCACTAGATGGGCACCACAGAGGAAGGATTAAAAAGTTCCATACCCTGAAGTACCACATCAGCGACAGAATTAGCAACAACGTTGGGATCGTCCGGCGAGAAGCAAGCCCGCCCCCAAGGGTAGGATGCAAAGAAAGACCGCATCCTATCCCAATCGGCCGACCTATGTTGCCAAACACGGCACCAGCCTGCAGAATGCAACCGCGATGTTAGCGTGAGTGGCACCACACTCCCGACTAGACAATGGTCCGAGGAGCCAAGAGAGTCATCGACCGAGACTTGATATCTGTCCGGATGAGAGATCAGCAGAAGGTCCAACAGGAAAGGTGCATGATCCTCCACATCTGGAATCCGCGTAGGCGAAGTAACTAGTTGTGTCAGACCATATGCCAAGGCTAAATCATGAAGATATCTCCCCGCATGATTGGTTAAACGTGAGCCGAGCCATTTGGCGTGGTGGGCGTCAAAATTTATTTATTTATTTATTTATTTAACACCAATAAGACATACACTAACAAAAGCATAATATTTTTGCAAAAAATCATAAATACTAAGTGTTGACTTAATTACAGGTGTTACACACATTTCATAAAAATCGCCGAGAATCACGATCTCTGCGGATGGGATCTTTTGTGAACGGCAGAGTCGGGACTCTGACAGGCGTGAGTGTTTGTGTGTTTTTTTTTTATAGGATAAGGGTGACAAACGAGCACACAGTCCACCTGATGGTAAGTGGTTGCTGCGGCCCATAGACATCTACATTTATCCTCTACTACAAATCAAAATGTAGATGCGTTGTCGCCCGTGAGGTCTAAGATGGAATGCCTCATTCCCAGTAAAAAAGGCCTCCGGCCACCTGCACTCACCAAGCGAAACGCAGAGGTAAATTTCTACTTCACGCTGGTTTTCTGTGAGATCGTGGTACCACCCCGGTTCGAGCCGGCCCATCCGTGCGACAGCAAAAGCTGCCGCGTGGCTCTACCACTGTTAAAACTGTTGTGTGTTGAATCTGTAGTCATTTGGACGTGGTCGATGAGTCGGTTTGTTTCGGCATTACTGTTATGGGACCTACAGAGGCTCCCGTAGACGCGCGGATGGTCCTTGCCATCTACGCGTAGCCAAAGCTTGGACAGGTCAGAATCTTCAAGACTACCGAGGCGTCGAAAACAGATGTCCTCTCTGACGTAAACGCATACGAATTGGGCCTTCGGCTACCTGCAATCACCAGACGAAACGTCGAATCAGAGCTTCCACTTTATGCGGGTATTCAAGTTTTACTTTATGTATTAACTTTAACAGTGGTAGAGCCATGCGGCAGCTTTTTCTGTCGCACGGATGGGCCGGCTCGAACCGGGGTGGTACCACGACCTCACAGAAAACTAGCGTGAAGTAGAGGTTTACTTCTGCGTTTCGCTTGGTGAGTGCAGGTGGCCGAAGGCCCTTTTTACTGGAAATGAGGCATTCCATCTTAGTCCTCACGGGTGACAACACATCTACATTTTGATTTGTAATAGAGGATAGATGTAGATGTCTATGGGCCGCAGTAACCACTTACCATCAGGTGGACTGTGTGCTCGTTTGTCACCCTCATCATATAAAAAAAAAAACTGTAAAGCTTGTTGTGCTATGAAAATATTGTGGATTTTTGTTTTCTATACCTTTGTCATCTTTAGGGTGTTAAACAGGCAATAAATATCATATTACATTATATTCTCAGAATGTAACTTTTGATTTAAATCTTATTTGAATGTAGAGTCTGTTTATTAAAACCTAAGATCTTGTACGTGTTTATACGCGAATACATACATATTAGAAAATATCATGCCAATTTGACTACATATTTGTGCAATTTGCTGTAGAGACTATCGGTCTGTGGGGTGCACGTGGGGTGGAGTTCCTAAAGGAACTCCATCCGCGGCTGATCGTTGCTGGTTCTTTTCTCGCTCAAAGGCTAAGTATAGTCATTCAGCGGGGAAACGCAGCCAGCATTCTTGGCACGATACCGCGGGGAGTAGTTTCTAGTTTTAGATTTTTTATAATTATTATAGTTTTTAATATTGTATATAATTTATTTTAGGTCAGAGTTGCATGAAGTTAAGGTTTTTATATATTTGTGTGCATCAAAAGTCGATCGTGATCGTAATAAAAAAATAAACCAAATTTAATTTAAGTGCACATACCCTCTCTGTGAAGATCATGATCATGAAGTAGGTACGCTGGATGATACGTACAACGTTAAGAGATTGATTTTTTTAAATAATACCTAACCAACGCATCAAATTCTTTGAAACTGCTATAAATATTAAATAAGTATTTATTATTACTAATTTATGTCATACTAGAGTACAAAGAGTGAAAAATGGAGATTACCAATCCAAAATACTACATACATAAACGGAAAGTAAGTAAATATTGCTTACAGGAATGATAAAAAACTAATTAAAGTATTTATTAAACATATTTTACTCAAAGAAATCGTCATTATAAAATATTTGCTTAAAATTGAATACCTACAATAACAATATGTTACCATAAACTAAAATATCAATATTAAAATGATATTAAATATATTTTGAAATGTATTATCTGTGATATTGTCGGTAAAGTAGTACCAAAGCAAGTGGCGCCGGTGCTATTTTATCTACGCGGCATGGACGAGCTGTCATGGCGAATTATAGTGTACGTTTCTGTGCACAGTAAAACATAAATAATGAGTTTTAGGCGAAAAATATCGTTCATGTGCGTTAAGAATTGCTGTGTCAATTCTAAAGTATCATGATTAATGTGCGTTAGTTCAAATATACGTGACAATGGACAAGAAAAATGGTATTCGGAGGGCAAAGAGGCCCTCGAAGGCGTTGGAAGAAAATTATTGGGATTGTAGTGTTTGCACATATAGAAATAACGCGGAAGCCTTCAAATGCTCAATGTGTGACGTTAGAAAAGGTAAATATGAAGATTTTATTTGGTTTTAACCCCAAACGTCCGCTGTTCGATAGAGACATTGACCGAAAGTCCTTCATGAAATTTAGGTCGTTCCAAGGGCTAATGATCTGGTTTTTGTTTAGACAAGTAATGTTAATGCACTCTTATTATATCTGCAAGCGATAATCGTTGTAAAAAAGGCCTATAAGTTCTTACTTAACATTTAAATCGTCTCTAAAACTTGCATAATTCATAAGTATCGAATATTGATTAGTGTTAGAGAATTATTTATAAAGCTATACTTTAACGTTTTCGGTCTTTGATTTGACCTCAGATTATGTATCAAAACAGTTAGATACTTTTATTAATTTGTTAAAAAAAAGAAATATTATTTCAAAAAAAGCGAAAGTATTATTAGGACTATGAAATTTTTACTTTTTACTTAAATAATATTAAATTTGTATTAAAATAATCTCTAATATCAATCGAACTATACATGCCATTCATACTTATTTTAGATCTAAATAAATTACTAATAACTTATAAGCTAATAACCTATAGAATGAGTTTTAGAAATTGCCGCGGCTAGTGAGCGCTAGTGTAGCAATAAACCTACCTATTTGAATAGTCTCTTGTAACGGTGTTTCACGTTTATATATAATAACTTCTGAAATAATTGTGGTTATAATTCGTTGACCTTTCTTGCGTGCATTATACCTGTAGGTATGATATAGAAACAGTAGTTTTCTTACATATATATGAAGCTTCTTAAAGTTCTCCATGACCTTAATTTGTGTAAATATTATATTTTTATAATATAGAATGTAGGACGTTATATTATTTTTTATTTATATTATATGAGAATGTAAACACATGGGACCATGGATCTGATCCGAATCCGAAGTGCTCAGATCGAATTGTTAGGGTATTAGGTCGTGTGACTCAAACTTCAAGGGGAAGCTTACATTTTGTAAATGCTCTATTTCACGCTTAAGTCGACTATGGGAATGCCTGCAGCACATGAAGCTATAACTACCGCACTATCGCGTAGTTAGTCGGACATTAACACAGTCTAACTACTACGTAATACCTAGATCGGTGACGGGCACCGTCACAACGTTGTGTTGTGAAGTTGTGATACGTAGCGATCGCTAATTCTCCCGCCTGCCAATTACATCAAACTCTCTCTCTCTCTGTTATGGGAGAGGCCCATGTCAAGCAGTAGTGTTTATGCCCTGATGATAAAGGTGCTTACGATTTTAATCAAAGGAAAAGTCAAAAATACATGTTAGGTTTATTTAAAGCTCTTATTAACGACAATCTTTTTTTTTAAACTTTACCCCCACTAGGATTTTCTCCTAGGATGGAGTGGAGGCAGTTTACAAACACAAATTGCACAAGGACAAACGTCCAGACCCGAAACAATTATTTGTAGGCCATACAAACACTTGTTCCGTGCGGGATTCGAACCCGCGGCCCCCAGCGCAGTAACTCATTGCTAAACCACTGTGCCACGGAGCCGTCAAAAAAATCTACCACGAAAAGTAAGACCGACTTCAAAAAAGAGACGGTACTCAATTCGACTGTATGCTTTTTTATGTGTGTTACCTCACAACTTTTACTGGGTGAACCGATTACATATGGCCTCTAACTCTGTACTAGGTTCTCTTTTCGAATTTGTCGTTTAAAGCTTATTATGTACGTTAAATTCATTAATTCATCACATTAAAACTTCATATTAAAAGCAACCGCCGAAAACAGGCTTTTCCCATACATTTGACGGTTCTGTGGCGCAGTGGCTTAGCAATGAGTTGCAAAGCCAATGGCCGCGGGTTCGAATACCACATGGAACAAGTATCTGTATACCCGACAATTACTTGTTCCGGGTCTGGATGTCCTTGTGACCAATTTCACAAGGCTTCTGGGTTCCTACGGCGCCACGATTTGAAGGATTCGCACAGATTTTATACGTGGTAGAGCCATGCTGCAGCTATATTAGTGGTATAGTTGTAGCACGAATGGGTAGGCTCGACCGGGGCAGGACCACGCTCTCACAGAAAACCAGCGTAAAATAGCAGCTTAATGCTGCTGTGTTTCGTATGGTGAGTGTAGAGAACCGGAGACCCTTTTTACTGGCAAAGAGGCATTCCATCTTAGTCCTCACGGGTGACAACGCATCTGCATCTTGAGTCTTTATTGAGGATAGATGTAGATGTGTATGGGTCGCACTGGTCACTTACCATCAGGTGGACTGTGTGCTCGTTTGTCACCCTATCCTTTAAAAAAAAAAAGATCGCGACGAGATATGCCAAAAAGTAAGAATACAATTTTTCGATATCTCGCTTAGTTTCCGAGATATCGATAATAAAAAATCGAATACTAAAACCGAATCAGCACGCCCCTACTCCACGTAATCTGGTCTTCCCTACTCCTAGGGTGTTTTTGTAAAGCCGTAGGCGCGGTGAGAGAGCAGCCCCTCTCACTGCTCACCTCCGCAGCTGTGGCTTATTGGTCGCCTTCGACGACCGACCTCAGCCGCTATGGCTCGCACAGGTGCCTGGTAGGATAAAGGATGGGGCGGTTCCAGTACACACCTCGTACATACCGTACACCCGCGTACCAGGGTGGCTCTCACCGCCCAAACATCGACCCACACGACCTAAGCAATAAGAGGCGGGGGTCCGCACACCCCCACTCGGAGAGCGGTTCGATAGCTCAAAAAACCTCAACAGAGGGGGGGGATATGATGATTAGTAACAACACTGATTCATAAACCAACATCATCCTCATCCTCATCATTGCCTTTGCTTTTTTTAAATAGCTCGCGCCAAAACCGTTGCAGAAGTAACTTTGACGTGAATCGTCGCGCCGTAAGAACCGTACTCGTGCCGTGAAATTTATGTATGTACTGCCAAGACGATACAGGAGAAAATCCTAGTGTGGAGTTAACGTCTTTTAAAAACAAATAGATTGCCTTATTGGTCATAGTGGTCGTGCCGGCGAGCGCGTACCGTATTGTTATAATTTTGAGTTGTTATTAGAAAGATGGTGCTGGTCAACCTGTTTTATTTTCTTTTGTCACCTGTTACCACTAACACTGGTTGTTAAGGGACAGTGAATTGTCTTACGTCACCACTACACGGCCATGTTATGTATGTACGTAGATACCGCGTTTGATAAATCTAAACCAGGGATGGCGAACCAATGGCACGCGTCGCAATATTTTGGGCACGCCGCCGATCAGAAAGTTCACTATGAAGTATATTATATTACGAACGAACGTGAGTGTTCGGGCGCGGTGCGCGGGGCGGCGGTAATCACGATGTCAAAATTCGTTTACGGGACGTCTATGACCTCTTTAAACATTTCTTTAGAAAGATGGCACGTTGATACATAAAGGTTCGCCACCCCTGATCTAAACTATCTTATACAGCGTAGCAACCGAAAGCGAGCCTAATAGTTAGACATTGAAGGACGTATCTTGCGTAAACTTTCCATTATGAGCGGTAAAGCTCATTAAGAAAAATAATCACTAGAAAGATAACTGTGTTGTCCAAGTACTGGATGTCGGTAGGAATTAACCATTTTTTCTCGGAATACCTTATCACATCAACAACCGTGGTACACCATGCTGACTATCAAATGAGCCCCTAGCAACCGGCTGATATATCTAAATCACTGGTAAATGGGAAGCAGCACTATTAAGGTGGAGTTATTGACCCTGTGCTCAACATTTCACCTCCATAGCGTGGTTCTTGAAAAGGCCAGTATATATTCTAAAGGCTGATTAAATAGATTATAAGATTCTAAAGGCTGATTAATAATTTAAAATTAAAAAATTTGTCCAACCGACTTCAATATAAATTATTAAGAATAACTCAAAAACTATTGGTCAGACCTTGATCAAATTTATGTGGGACCACATGAGAAGCACCAGCTTTCAGACAAAAAAGAATCATCGAAATCGGTTCACCCAGTAAAAAGTTATGACCTAACACACATAAAAAACCTACAGTCGAATTGAGTACCGTCTCCTTTTTGAAGTCTGTAAAAAAGGTTAAAACGTCTCCAGTGTTATATTTACTGGTAGTCAAACGTGGTAGAGCCACGCTGCGGTTATATTAATTATAGGTATAGTTGTAGCACTTATGGGTCGGCTCCGCCGCGTAAGGACCACGCTCTCACAGAATACCAGCGTAAAATAGCTGCTTAATGCTGCTGTGTTTCGTATGGTGAGTGTAAATAACCGGACCCTTTTTATTGGAAAAGAGGTATTCCGTCTTAGTTCTCACGGCTGACTGATGTCTATGGGTCACAGCAACCACTTACCATCAGGTGGACTGTGTGCTCGCTTGTCACCCTATCCCATTAAAAAAAAAACATTAATCGGTTTAGCTATATCGAAGTAAAGTTACAGACTATGTACGTCTTACGTGGTCGTAAACGCAACTCCTGACCGTGAGGTAAAAAAACAGTCATATGGCCAAATACTCAAACGTTACTCAATTTTAAGACGCTGTTAAGTCTCATGGTGGTCACAGTCACTTTGACTTAAAGTGAAAGAGACAGCACGAGATTTAACGACGTCTTAAAATTGAGTATTTGGGCAATCAAGAAATTCTCAGTAGGAGCCCTAAGTCGGGAAATTGGCTGTGTTTCATCCCCGTCCCTCGTATAACACGTGAAAGCGTTCGTTCTGCGCCTGATCGTGGTCGTGTCGGATTGTCATCCCATCGGACTACGAGAGTAAATGAATAGAGAGTGCACTTGTGTTTGCGCATACACTCGCACTAGAATCCTGTCCTGCGCACAGTCTCCATTGCGACTGCGCGATCTGGAGGACATTGCCTGTTGGGCACGTGCCTCTTCTCATTTCTGTAAGAGTCTTGGTACAATGAGTCCGCGAAATTTTTTTGTTATAGGATAAGTGAGACAAACGAGCACACAGTCCACCTGATGGTAAGTGGTTGCTGCGGCCCATACATGTCTACATCTATCCTCTATTACAAATCAAAATGTAGATGCGTTGTCACCCGTGAGGACTAAGATGGAATGCCTCATTTCCAGTAAAAAGGGCCTCCGGCCACCTGCACTCACCAAGCGAAACGCAGAGGTAAACCTCTACTTCACGCTGGTTTTCTGTCAGGTCGTGGTACCACCCCGGTTCGAGCCGGCCCATCCGTGCGACAGCAAAAGCTGCCGCATGGCTCTACCACTGTTAAAAAAATATTTTATTCTTAAGAGATCTTGTTCCTTTTTTATTTCTTAGATAAACAGGTTTTTCACAACGGTTTTCGTTCACCGCGGAGCACGTGGTAAATAAATATTTAAAATTGCAACAATATCGATGGTACCGAGGTGGTGTAAGTGAGGTTGCTCGTGTAATGAAACTTAGTACACGAGAGCCGTGGTAGCTCAGAAGAGCCGTGGTAGCTGATGGTTAGCGCTCGCTGTAAATTTCATTGTACGTGAGCAACCCGGGTTCGATCCCCGCCGGCACCGATGAAATCGTTAATTGCAATTTTAAGTGCGGATTTACTACGTCCTCGGCGGTGAAGGAAAACATCGTGAGGAAATCTGCATGTCTGAGAAGTAAGAAAAAAATATTCGAAGATATGTAAAGTTCGCCAACGCGCATTGGGGCAGCGCGGCGGACATTTCCTTGCCCTAAAACCCTCTCGGGAATGAGGGGAGGCCTGAGCCTAGCAGTGTGACGTATATGTTCTATGTGGCTGTAACTTTAACACGAGCACTAGTAAATTTTTCTTATTTAAAAAAAAAGTTACTTAATAAAAAAAATCTTTCCGCCACTTCAATCAGTTGACTTCAAGGCATTAAAAAGAATAAAATAAATTCGCATTCTGAAGTCAGGGCATCAATTCGTTTTTACACCATGTCTTACCATCGACTAAAAAACTTTTTGAGTGGACTGACGGATAGCACAATCTCAATGTCGTCTAAATAATTACATTAAAAACTACATCCCCTATTTTGTGATACTTAGGGGTGGAATTCACCCTAAAGAATAACCGATTTAATAAAAAGAAAATCATCAAAATCGGTTCCCAGATATCACGTAACATACATACAAAAAAAAAACATTCATTTAAATTGGAAACCTCTTTTTTTTAATAAAATAGTTTTTTTTTTAAAGAATTCAAGGAGACTATGTTATCTTAAAGCGGAACTCAAATTGCTTTCGTTATAATGTAGTCTGTTCATATTAGGATACGGCAACTATATTCAGGGTTGTCAGCTATGCGTGTAATAAAATTATATATTTATTTTGAAACAAAAGTTTTGTTATCAATTATAATCTATACGTATAAATAAAATAATAGAGGTTTGCAGGTATATACGTATAGACAGGATGCAAACATTTGTCTCGACTTTTCTTATTAACTAAGAAAAGTCTTAAAAAAATTAGAAGGTCATATAAACCACGAGGCGATAGGGACACTTTTAATTAATTTCTATTTGCTAACTTACCAAAGTTTAGAGCCACGTAGAGAGGTTTATACGTGGTAGAGCCATGCTGCAGCTATATATATATATATATAGTTTAGTTGTAGCACTAATGGGTCGGCTCAACTGGGGAAGGACCGTGCTTTCACAGAATACCAGCGTGATATAACAGCTTTACGCAGCTGAGTTTCGTATGGTGAGTGTAGAGAACCGGAGACTCTTTTTACTGGAAACGAGGCATTCCATCTTAATCCTCACGGGTGACAACGCATCTGCATTTGATTCGTAATCGGGAATAGATGTAGATGTCTATGGGCCACAGCAACCAATTACCATCAGATGGACTGTTTGCTCGTTCGTCACCCTTTCCTATAAAAAAGACACGTCATTTATCCCGATATTCGATTTTACGTGTAGTTGCTTATATAGTCGCTCCATTTAGCCAATAGGACATCATTTAAAAGTTTTAATTTTGTAGTCTCCTCTTCAGGTGTCGCCTAATTCAAAATGGATAAAATTATTAGCAACTACATATTATTTTCATAATAGTTTGAAAGAACAGATTCTTTTTTAGTTTTATTAGTACAACATTAATCTTTGATTACACACAAATTCGACATAATGTTTGAAGGACTTTCGGCCAATTAATGAGATTCTTCTGAGACGACAGGGAGTCGTTAAAAATATCCATAGAAAGAAATGAAAATTAAATTTTAGCCATAAAATATCTCTCTGACAACCCTGTGTGAATTCAACGAGACGTAGACGCGCTAACCATATTAAACAAAGGAGGCACGGTCTTAGTCTGTGGAATGTATACATTTTTATATGTATATTCTTTGTGGACGAGCTGTTTTTAGATGTTAAAATATCTATTTTATATTTTTAATAAATGTAATATAGCTCTCTACCGCTTAGACATACAGAATCTTTATTAATTGGCTAGCGATCCGGCCCCGCTTCGCACTGCTTTTTGGATCTTGACAAAAGCGCCACCTACCGAGCCCGATTGTGAATCTAAACCATCAAGGGACCCCACTCATAAACACAAAAAAATATACCTATAAGAGGTGTAGTTTGAAAATGTGTTTTTTTTTTATTAACGTCCCCGCATACCACCTTGCGGGTTGAATTTCATAAAATCCTAATCTCTACTCGGTGAAAGGAATATTCCTACCAAATTTCAAGTCTCAGAGATATCGTGATGAGTCAGTAGATAGGTGGAAATCTCTTAGATAGAAGAAGACTATATAATCTGGATCTTATTTAATACTTAAAAAAATGTGTAAGATAACACTACTCAGCATCTTGCTTATTAAGTTTATTCCATAATATACTTTTTAAAAAAAGGCAACTGGAAGATATTTCAATATATTATGCAATAAGGTAAGCGAGCTATAGAGAGTCAGTAGCCTAATGGCAGGACGCGGACCGCGAACTCGAAAGGTCGTGGGTTCGAATCCGCCATTCGACTACTGTCGTGAACCACTTCTAACACAAGCATTTTAAGCTTACCAGAAGTGGTTAAAGGGAATATTAGTAATATTTAATAGCATTACTAGTATTTAAAAAAAATAGAGATGGCTATGCTCGGAGTTTTTCTGCGTGATACACTTTATAATGAGGTATCCGCAGTAGAACCAGCGTAATCAACATCACCGACATACACCGAACAGTAGCTAGCTAAAGTGGCAATGGGCCACTCACATAGCACTGACAACCGATGGGAAAGAAAGGTTTTCGAGTGGCAGCCTCGTACCGATAGGCTTAGTGAAAGGCGGGCCTTACTAGACGGAGCGACGTGCTGGTAATATGGCAATAGGTGAAAGAAATCGATGTATGCAGGTGGCTCAGGACCGTGATTTGTGGGATTTCTTGTGGGAGGCCTATAACAGTGGATGTGGATGATGTGAATGTGTGGAAATGGATGAGATGTAATGATGATGTAAAAAGTAGTAACCTAGTAAAGAAAAAAAGAATGACCCTTCCCCGGTCGAATCAATCTATTTGTACACGATCCGTTTCTATATAGTCGAAAACATTTGTGATGAACTTTGCTGTTCAAAACACCACCAGAATCCTCTAAAGACTAGATCTATTTTGTGTGACAGATTCTTGAACATACCGCTTGTCATCAGGCACTTCTACCCGCAAACCTCGCATCAACCCAGCCCTGGTGGCAGCCCAAGCGGCCGGCACAGCGCCCACGAGCTCACAGAAGCGACCACGCTCCGCCAATTCGCTCAAGAAGAAGCGTCGACATCCGCCACGACTTAGCAACGTCGACCGAAGTTCGGCGCAAACCAGAGAGGTACAATATACCTTGTCTAAAGTCTGTTCGGCGACAATTGATAAAAAAAGCAGGGCACCTAAACTCATTCCTAATTTTTCGTCGTTTTATATTATAAGCACGATGACTGGACTCGACCGGAGAAGGACCACACTCTCACAGAATACCCGCGTAAAATAGCAGCTTAATGCTGCTATGTTTCGTATGGTGAGTGTTGACAACTGGAGACCCCTTTTTACTGGAAACGAGGCATTCCATCTTAGTCCTCAGAGATGAAAATGCTTCTGCGTTTGGATTTTTAATTCAGGATAGATGTAGATGTTCATGAGCCCCAGTAATCCCTTATCATCAGGTAGACTGAGTGCTCCTTTCTCACCCTTATTCTATAAAAAAAAATATTTTTGTTTATAGATAATAAATTCCCGGCCAAGTGCGATTCGGACTCGCGCATGAAGGGTACCGTACCATCGTAATACACGTTTCTAGTAGGGGTCCTTTAATTTTTAATTTATTTTTATTATTTGTTGTTATAGCGGCAACAGAAATACACATTCTGTGGAAAATTGGACTATCCACCTATTACGGATCATGAGATACAGCCCGCTGACAGACTGACAGACAGACGGACGGACGGACAGCGGAGACTTAATAATAGAGTCCCATTGGTTACCACCGGGTACGGAACCCTAAAAAAGTTGCCGCGTTGTCTCTGCGGGTGATAAGCGACACCGTTCAAACAGTTAGCGATACTTAAACGACAGTCGCTATTGCGAGACGTTTTTCATAATATTTATCAAATCTCACCGAACAGACTTTTTTTTTAACTTTTAATGGTGCCAGAGACTTGTTAAAGTTTGAATATGATTACATAATAGAGTACTTGAATTTTAATAATAATAGACATTTTTATAAACACCCGTGAAATGTTGCCAATCAATATAACATAGTGTCAGGCTTTTATAGTCAAAAAATCAAGTTATTTGTATATTTATGAAATACTAAAAATTAAATTTTATGGCAGCTCTTCACGTTGGCCAACATTGTGGCAAAGATATAAAGGCTTCAGTACACGTGGCTCGCTAAGCGCGCTCGGCTGATTTTCGTGATGCCGTTCACACGTTGGCGTGTTTCATTCTGCGTTGGTAGCTATAATTATGATGATGGACGTTAGGGCGATTGTGGCCGTTGCAATATAATTGTACAGCGCTTTCAAATTTTATTTAGATGTGCACCAGAGATGAGTGATTAGAAAAAGATATTTATCATTAGGTAGTAATAATATTTATCATTAGGTACATACTCTGAAATCACGACTAAACATGTATTATTTAATGTAGTTAGGCAAGTTACTTACTCTGGTTTTATTTTTATGTTGCTCATGTTTGAGGTTCCATATAACTGATTCATTGTGATAAGAATCAATGAACCTAAATATTTCCTCATTAGTCCATGTCGCCAAGCCACTACAGACACTACAGTCTACTTCGACGCGTAACTATGAACTGAACACTCGGCCTACGTGTGATCGCTGTTTGCGGCTTGCGCCAAATTTCTTTGATTTGTGCACGGAAAACCGAAACTATACGGCTTGTCGGCGAGTGTTGGCCGCAAACGCCAAATACACACAAAACGGCCCAGTACACGTTGTGCGTGTACGTGTACAGCCTACATTTAGGCAAGAGTTTGTGATGGCGTCCACACGATGGAAGGTTGTTCAGTTTGCGTCGGTTCTGGCCAATAGCGGACGAATATATTAAAATGGATATTGAGGCGCTAACGACTGCTGCGGTTTATTTATTCACAGCATATCGCTACTACGTGAATGTGTATAAGAAAAGGGTGATTAAAAAGAAATGGGAAAAAAATAAATTTTATTTCTTGGGTTCCACAAATAATTTTCGGCTTGGTAGAGCTCTATAAAGCGAAGTTTCTTCATTGGTCATTGTTACTAGTTACGACGTGTGGTATAAAATTTAAATCAGGTGCGTGCGATCAATCTGTGATCTCGTAGCAAACTATACGCGCGCCCAACGTGTGGACGCGGCGGCCATAACTGCCACAGCCCTTTGATCTTTTGTAAAAAATCGACACCATACGGATCTCGCGCCAAATTGTGGACCATCATTCCAAGGTAAGCACAAACATCCGCTGTACATGATGGCCATAGGTATCGCCACAATGTTGGCCAACGTGAAGTTTTAAGACACTACTTAAAGTTCCAAATTCGAATTAGTCGTTGAATGTATCAGTGATTGCGATTGCATCTGGCATCTATAAATAACCCAATATTGAACAGCAAATCCCTATATTTTGGTGTACCAGGTAACCGTCAGTGGAGTCACTGTAGTGATAACAGAGTATAAACCGAAGAAATCCGTCTCCAGCAGCTCCAGTGACGTGGAGTCGTCAAACGACGCCCGGCCATGATCTCCAGACTAGGCTTAAGCGGTCGTCGACATTGGTGCCAACCTTGGCATACTTAGATCAAAACATGATGTTTCTTTGTTAGATTGCTTACTACTATTTATCATTGAAAACCAAAAAGCTAAGTGGTCGCAGGTTTGATCACAAACGGAGCCAGTATTCTTGCAAAACAATATTGTGTTTAGGGTTGCCACCTTTTATATGCAATATAGTATTTTTGTGGGTACTACACACAGATTACCCCCTGGGTAATCTATGGTATTACAAATAATTAAAACGTATGTTCAAACTACTGCTTTCTGATTGGCTGGCAACCCTAATTACCATTGTCTGCATGTGGCGGACATTTAATCCATTTTCACTTGAGATTTTCTCATATATGTGTGGGTGATACATTGAAAAAGAGTGAGTGCTTTTGCGTTTGATTTTAAAGCTTACGGCAATATAATATGCCCCGCACAGTCGGAGGTCGAACAGTAGGATTGTAGGGTTGCTACAGATAAAAAAATATTTTGTTGACTTACTATAAATTGTAAATTGATATAACGTATTATACGAAAGATCGATATGAGAAATAATTACGGCTATATATAATAATAACTAGTTATAAGCAATGTTTGCCTTATCATCGGTAAATAATGTGGTTGTATCTTCAAGGCAACAGTGGCTAGGCTTTTGTTTAGCTAAGTAAGTCTGTAACAATCTACGGGTACTTACCATGAGGTAGGATAGTGTTCAAGCACTGGCTTATAACAGGGCAAAAATATGGTATGTGTCAGATAGAATAAAAGTTGAAAAAGTTAAAGTTACAGCCTATATACGTCCCATTGCTGGTCACAGGCCTTCCCTCATTTTTAAGAGGGGAGGCCTTAGGAGGACTTATAGAGCAAGGAATTGCCCGCCTCGCTGCCCCAATGCGTGTTGGGATTTTTTTTCTTATTTCTCAGACATGCGGGTTTCCTCGCGATGTTTCCCTTCACCGCCGAGAAAGTGGTAAATGGTGACCGTTTACCACGTGCTGCACCTTGAAATACAGCCCGTATTTTAGGACCCTGGGGTTATATTAAGGTGTTAGAAAAAATTTATGATCACACACTTGGTTTTTCTCAACGGTATCGATCAGAACAGTAGAGTACTAATTTTGTTGTTACTTATGTAAATCGTAACCATGCAGGCGAGTGGTTATGAAATTTAGTTCTATATCATTCTGTATTAAAAGTATTAATATGCATTTAATAGGACTCTTCTTGCCTAGGACTCGGTCTGAATAGATAAGTACTAACCGTCTTATCTACTTCTGACACTGAATAGCAGGGCTTGTAACGCTGCGTTCTGGAATTAAGGGTGTAGAGAGCCAGTATAACTGCAGGTCCTCAACACATTTGTAACTTTGTGTGGAGTTGCAGCTGCAGGTGTCTTACTGCAGTAGCCACTTACCGTCAAATGTAATGTAACTTCTTTAGTCACTTCTTTTTTATAAAATCACTAGCGATCCTTTGGCGATTTTTACGTGGTAGAGGCAGGGTTGGCTGATTTAAATCAAACTGATTTAAATCATGATTTAAATCACGATTTAAATCACTTGATTTTGATTAAAAAAATCATTGATTTAAATCAACATGTATAAATTAATATAATAGGCAGAAAATTAAATAAAACTGGCTTAAAATAACGTAAAATCTTCAATAGTCCCATAAACTTAGTAAAATCAACCAAAATTTTTTTTTTGAAATTCACCCTTAAGGTGAAAGCTCTAGGATGGCCCGCAAAATTCAAATATTTTTGCATTTTTTGGAATTTGCAGGTCAGGGTCAGGTTGTATGTTTAATAAAATATGATTCGCGACCATAACGAGTATGTGTTTACAGAATTATTAAAATCACCAATACAACCCTTTAAGTTCATATAATCCCTTTCAATGAGTTTTTCTGGAAATAGCCATACAATGGGATTATACAAACATAGACGGTTGTATTGATGATTATGATGATTATAATTCTGTAAATACATACTTGTTACGGTAGAGAATCATATTTTCTTAAACATACAACCTAATACTGACCTACAAATTGTAAAAAACATAAGAAAATTTGAATTTCGCGGGTTACCTTGGCGCTTTCACCTTAAGATATGAACTGTAATTAAAATTATAGTATTAATTATTTTACTCTTAATCAGTTTCATATATATGTATTCATAAACTTTTAATCCTACTATGTTAAAAAGTGTTACCAACTCGTGAATTTCCAAATATACAAAAAAAAAAAATCAAAAAATTCAAAAAAATCAGAAAAATCATGATTTTTTTAAAAAAATCATGCTGATTTGATTAAAATAAAAAAAATCATGATTTTTTCCATCCCTGGGTAGAGCCATGCTGCAGCTATATTAGTAGTATAGTTGTTGCACGAATGCGTCGGCTCGAGCGGGAAGGACCACGCTCTCACAGAATACCAGCGTAAAATAGCAGCTTAACGCTGCTGTGTTTCGTATGGTGAGTGTAGAGTACCGGAGACCCATTTTACTGCAATAGAGGTATTCCATCTTAGTCCTCACGAGTGACGATGCATCTGCATTTTGTTCGTAATCGAGGGTAGATGTAGATGTCTGTGGGTCACGCCAACCACTTACCATCAGGTGGACTGTGTGCTCCTATGTCACCCTATCCTATATAAAAAAAAAAATCTGAATCTCGACAATAGCTCCACCTACCGGGTCCAGTTGTGAATCTAAACCATCCAGGGAATCCAAACACACACACAATAAATTTTACCAGATATCTGTCGAGCCAGTTTCGAATTTTAGCGAGACTAACGGGCAGAAATTGATTTATATAATAGAGATATATTCTGAAATACTTTGCACTCTATTAAAATGTGGATGTGTCATCAAGGCAACACTGAATAGGTTTTTGTTAAGCTATGTAAGATTTTACTATCTTCGGGTACATCTCTACTTACCTGAAAATAGTGCTTGTATTATTTTAATGGATGCCATACACGATCTAATTTACCGTCAAGTTGCAGCGCACTTGAAGATGCGTCCGGTAAACTTGACGGTGTATGGCTATCAGTGTGACTTGATCAAGCTTGCGGCGTTATATAAACTTGAACGCGTGTGTGAGCGGTCAAGTATACATGACGTTAGTCCGAGCAATAAGCGAGAGACGCCATGGTTTCAACTGGTCCGGCATCATGCAAACTTGACGGCGAACTTGTACTACTATATACTATATGGATGCACTGCAAAATTGACGCCGTTGAAAGCGGTGTTGCAAACTTGACGGTAAACTGGATCGTGTATAGTGTTCATAAGGTGTTAGTTCTTTGTTGAATCTAGTATGCACTATGATGCAGTCTATACAATCGTGCTCGTAAGTTGTAATCATACTAACGAGTGATTGTTAAGCTGTTATAATTAGGATTGCCACCTTTTTTGAGTAATTAAAAAAAATATCAATAAAAAAAATAAAGTACGACTTGCTACGATGCTATTTTTTTTCCACACAATATATTTAAATTCTATGTCTAAGTTAAGATAACACACTGTTTCTTTCATCCCATCACTTATATACTCACATCATATATATACTCATCAAAGAATAAACTCTGTAAATAACGCTCTGTAATAACGGGAAAAAATGTCAGAATTTCTTCCTTGCAAATATAGCTTATTCTTATATAGCTCGTTGTGAATAATTGATATCTGTAATGATTATTTCGTTCTTTTAGTAAACATTAAGATAAAACCTTGAAAATCGTCAAAAATAGGTATAATACTTTTATTGTAAAGTGCGGGTGGTAACCCTAGTTATATAGCATTAAACTGTCAAATATTCAGTAATAACATTGACACAACATAACCTCATGTTGACTTGTAGGTTACTAATTAGGCCATATAAATAATAATAATCCCATATCTAATATATAAAAATTAATTATTGTTTGTTCGTATTTTATGCGTTGCCATACCGTTCATCAGGTTGTTGTAAAACTTTGTCAACATATTGCTTGCACTTGCGCGAAGGTTATAGGTATAGTGCAATAAACTTACAGTAGGTGGCGCGCGTATCGCAACAACAAATTTATTTTAAAGTTATATATCATTCAATTTCAATGGATGTATTATGGTATCATTCCTAATTAAACAATATAACTTGCAAATTTAAAACGATATTTCCCCACAATTATTTCTTCTGCGGTAGCTACGCGTCAGGTACCAGCTAGTAAACCAAGTAGTAATTTGATTAGATGACATTTTTATTTATTTGACATATTATTCTTTTTTTTTTCAATATAAGGCGGTAAGTAAAGTAAAGGCGCCATTACGAAATGTGTTGTGTCATGGGTGTCATAGCACGACGTTTTTCACTTATAATATAGCATTTTGTGAATATGTTTGACTTACCTTTTTTAATTGTATTGGCTAGAACGAATAGAAATATATTTGTACACCACACTGTCGGTAGAATTACACGATGCCTACTGCAAATTTTACTAACACCTAACTCACTGTATTCAGATATATATAGACACGAAACATATATATACGAAATTCCACTAGCACGGGCGGGTTGCGGGGGCGTTAATTAAAAAGAAAATCACATTTTCAAACTATAGCTCTAATATGTATAAAACTTGGCCAGAATATCGTTGAAATGGGTCCCTGGATGGTTTACATTGTCGAAATCCAGGAATCAACCGTGCGGAGCCGAGGTGGCTCGCTAGTAAATGAATAAATGAATTTGAATAAAATATGGACTTTATGAATTCTTTTATTCTGCATATAGTTTGGTAAAATTATTGTTACAAGTGTTTTGATAAGAAATTTTGTATGTATAGCAAATTCTGTAAGCAACAAACACTATTGTAAATTTTAGAAAGTCGCAAAGAAACATCATGTAACATAACCTAAGTAACAGACTTGTCCTTGTGTATTATTAAACGGTAATTTGTAATTTATTTTCTGTATATTGGTACATGGATCGTAATTGGCTTGTTTTA